GCGCGTAAGGAGGGGCGTTGGGGCGCGCGTAAGGAGGGGCGTTGGGGCGCGCGGGGTCCCCACCCTCCGAGGACCCCGCGCCGGGCCGCGGCGGGTGCTGTCGTCTCCGCGGTGGCCTGGAGTCCCATCAGCCTGGGGCTTCCTCTCTCTTGGGTGGAGGCCGCGGGCATCTTTGGACCCCTGCCCGGGCCGGCGGCGGCCGGTAAAGCTTGGGGAGAATCAATGGGCTGCTGATGGGTTGGGAGCCTGATGCCCGCGGGCCGTCGTCAGGGCCCTTGGGGTTGGGGATTCCCGGGGAGTATTTCCCAGTTTAATGGCCGAGGGGGGAGGGCAGCGGCTTTTCCCTGGGTGCCAACTAACCCCCAGCCCGCGGAGACCATGTGGTTTCGAGAAGTTGGAGGCAGAGATAACAGCAGAAGACTTTGTAGGGCTTAACTTTTGAAAGCGGCTTTTGAGGCACAGGGAGACTTGCCATGAGGACCAGGGGACACACATCTCTCAGAGCACACGGGACTTGTTTCTTTTGGTTTGGTGACACCCCCACCCCCCGCCTTTACTTTCTGGAGTGATTTAGGGGCTACAGAATTCCTTCTACACTTGATTTTGATGAACTTCAGGAATTTACGAGGAAGACTTGAAATAAAACTGTATCTGACCTATGACGACAAACGGGAGGGGAGAATAAGATCTCTTGACGAAAAATAAACAAAAATGAAGCTGTTAATTCATTTACCAGGTGAACATTAATCGTGGTTCTGAGTTATTAACGCAGCTCCGGAGAGAATCAGGATATTCCTCAATTAAGATTTTTTTAGAATGTAGATTGGACTTAAGTTATTAAGCCGAGTTTGGTAACTTTTTAACAAGAGAATAGTAATGAGTTTTGAATTGCAAGATATGTTTTTGTTTTTGTTTTCCTTGCACTCTAATTCAACAGTTGTACTAAAAGCGCTTGGAAAGAGGAAAGGACACTTATTTCTAATTTTCTTGGGGGAAGGGTATATTTTGGGAATGATATAAAACGTAACCATTTTAGAACATTCAGCTTCAAGAGAACGTTGCAATAAGTTGTGGGACCCATGTTTAAAAATCTGTTGTTGCTACTGATAGTATTGTACTTAGGCTTTTCTCTTTCTGTAACAGCTATGTAATACTGTTGCTGCAGTATTTCTCATCTTTCAGATTGATTTCAGCGGCTGAAAACAGCTGTGTGCTGTTTTATCACACAGAATGAAAAACCTGTTGATTTCTGAAGCAACTTGGGCTGCTGCTACTTTAAAAGGTGTTTGTTTTTCACATTTTCCAAATTATACTTTTATTTTTCTTTCAACAGGAAGGAGTCAAGACTGAGAACAACGATCATATTAATTTGAAGGTGGCGGGGCAGGATGGTTCTGTGGTGCAGTTTAAGATTAAGAGGCATACACCACTTAGTAAACTAATGAAAGCCTATTGTGAACGACAGGTGAGGAATTGATATGTGCACTTCCACTGAATAAAACTATTTAAAGAAAAACAAACCTTATTTTCTTGAAAATAGAAGCTAGCATAATATTACAATGACTTGGTATATCGATTCCTCATGAAAACCTTTAGGATGGTTCAGTTAGTATTATGTATGATTCTAGTCCTATGCCTGAAATGCATTAAATTATATTTACAACACTTTGTTCCTAAGGGAATGTAATTTTGCTTTTATAAGAAAATAATGGTTAACTAGGTAAAATTTTTTGTCAGGTTCACCCTCCCCCCATTTAAAATTTGTCTTGTGTCAGAATGATTATTTTGAATATTTTAGTCAATTTGGAAATGAAATTAAATGTGAGTTTAAGGGCATTGCAATTTTTCTGAAGCATGTAAATTGTCATATGTTTTTTACACTAGTAGAGGTCAGAAAAATTTAACCCTACTGAGCCAGGCATAAACAGTGCTATATTATAGGGACATTTGCATTTTACTCAGAAAAATAGTATATTGACAAGAATAGGAGGTAGGAATTTCTGCTGTCTTGATTGGAACAGTTGCTAGGAGGTAAATATAAGGTTTTACTAAAACAGATGAACTTCGTTTTGTGATGAGTCCCATGATAAGATAAAGGTGACTTTTAGGGGGCCGGCCTATGGCTCACTCGGGAGAGTGCGGTGCTGATAACACCAAGGCCACAGGTTCGGATCCCATATAGGGATGGCCGGTTTGCTCACTGGGTGAGCGTGGTGCTGACAACACCAAGCCAAGGGTTAAGATCCCCTTACCGGTCATCTTTTAAAATAATAAAAAATAAAGGTGACTTTTACAAGTATAACAAAAACTCTGGAACCAAATCAGTTAATCCAGCAAATAACCTGGCAATGGAAGTATTTTTCTTGTTCTACTTTGAATGTATAAACATTGGGGAAAATAATTTTTAGGCTAGAAGAACCGACCTACATTGTGAAAAACAGTCTCAAGGTAGAACAAGACTTAAACCTACTTTAGTTGGGAAACTATACTTAGGTTTCCTCTATGATACCTAAGGATATTTGAAAGAAACAGTGGGGGCCGGCCCGTGGCTCAGGAAAGTGTGGTGCTGACAATCCTAAGGCCGCAGGTTCGGATCCCATATAGGGATGGCCGGTTAGCTCACGGGGTGAGCGTGGTGTTGACAACACCAAGTCAAGGGTTAAGATCCCCTTACCGGTCATCTTTAAAAAAGAAAAAAGAAACAGTGAAGTTATGAACTTCTTTCTGAGTGTTTGAAACTATTTTATGCCTAACTTATTTATAACATGAGAGAATACCGAACTCTTGATTCTTTATCTTCATATCTAAACCTTCTTACAGTTTCTTATAAAGGTATGATCTTTAATACACTGTTATCTGGAGAATTTTGGTGAAATCCCCCTAAGAATTAGTAAATATGTACTTATTGTGCTAAAGAATGTATGCACTGGCATCTTCCGTATTTGAACACTAGTGCCCCTTCAGGTTACAGGGGAATTTTGAAAGGTAATCATCTTGTAGAACTTATGTAGCAAAACCTTATATAAAATAGAAACTCATACTTCAGCTTGTTTTATTTTTTAAATTTTTAAATTTTTTTATTTTCATTTTTATTATTATTATTTTTTAAAAAGATGACCGGTAAGGGGATCTCAACCCTTGGCTTGGTGTTGTCAGCACCATGCTCAGCCAGTGAGCAAACCGGCCATCCCTATATGGGATCCGAACCCGTGGCCTTGGTGTTATCAGCACCGCACTCTCCCGAGTGAGCCACGGGCCGGCCCTACCGTTCATCTTAAAAAAAAAAAAAAAATCCTGCTTATCTGTTGATATGTAAATTTGATTTGAAGATTTGATCCAGGAAGAGCTTGGGAAAATATTTATTCCCATTTTCCTCTTAAATTGGGAATAACCTTGGAATTCTGAGTATTAAGATCTGTTTGCTTTTCACATGTTTTCTCTCATTCCAAGAAAGAGGGAGTTGGGGTCTCACATAATTGGGCTGGTTGCCTGCTTCTCGGGAGCAGGTACAGGCTATCAAAATACTAAAATATTTATCCAGTCTAATTTGCAAGCTAAAGTATTTTTTGGCTGTTGAGAATTCCTGATCAAGGATTTCCTATCAAGATTAATTGAATGTTCATATTTTTAATTAAATCACTTGGCATCATCTCTGGAAAAGTTCCAGTGAATGTCTAATAGGCATCTCTAACTGAACATGTAAAAGAGGATTTGATTTTTACCCCTTGGAATCTGCTTTTTCTTTGGTTTACCTACTCAATAACTGGTCAGTCAGTTGTTGAAGTCAAAACTTTGAAGTCATTCTTTTTTTCTTTTTTTTTTTTTAAAGATGACCGGTAAGGGGATCTTAACCCTTGACCTGGTGGTGTCAGTACCACACTCTCCAAAGTGAACAAACCGGCCATCCCTATATGGGATCCGAACCCATGGGCTTGGTGTTATCAGCACCACACTCTCCCGAGTGAGCCACGAGCCGGCCCTGAAGTCATTCTTGATGATATTCTCATAACTCAAAATCCATCAGCAGACTGACTCTGTTCTCTACTTAAATCTGTGTTCTCCAGTGCAGTAGCCACAAGCCACATGTCAACTACTGACCACTTGAAATGTGGCTAATCCAGATTGAGATATACTATAAAATATACACCAGATTTAGAAAATTTAGTATAAAAAAGGGTAAAATATCTCAATTTAAAAATATTAATTGCATATTGAAATGACAGTATTTGAATATGTTGGATTAAAATATTAAAATTTTAGTTTTTTTAGGCCGGCCCGTGGCTCACTCAGTAGAGTGCGGTGCTGATAACACCAAGGCCACGGGTTCAGATCCTATATATAGGGATGGCCGGTTTGCTCACTGGCTGAGCGTGGTGCAGACCACACCAAGCCAAGGGTTGAGATCCCCTTACCGGTCATCTTAAAAAAAAAAATTTTTTTTAGTTTTTTAAAACTTTTTAATGAGGCTACTCAAAAATTCAAAATTGTCTTATGTGGCTCACATTTGTATTGGATAGTGCTGAGTTATACATGGCTTGCTACCATTTCATTCTTCTCTTGCTCAATTACTACCTCATTGTCTTCTCTGACAACCCTTTTTTAATTTGAAGTGTTCCCATCATTTGATCCTCTGATTTTTTTTGTTTGGTTGGTTTTTACATTGATCACAGCCTATTTTTGTCTGTCTCCACTGAAATGTAAGCTGAGATAGGGACTTTTTGTTCACTATGTTCTCTAGAGCCTAGGCCAGTACCCAATACATAGAACATGCTCAGTAAATGCTTGTAAAATTATATAGGAGCATTCAAACTAACAACTCCAGAGATTGGTTTGTAAATAAGTTTTTCAATCATGTGAAGTAGAGTTTGCCCACTGTATGTGAGCCATGTAGTCTTCTGCTAACTGAGAGCATACCGTTTCATTCTAGTGTAGATTTAGCCTAACAGGTTACATCAAGGAGTGTTAAGTGGTTTCAGAGAGCAGAGTCACTAGTTTAGCCCAGTTCATTTCTGTGAAGTGAAGAAACAGGGACCCAAAGAGATACTTCACACAACTCCTCTGGGGCATAGCTATCTCAGGGATGAGATTTATACAGAGGAGGAGCCCAGATACTACTTTATGGAATCTTAAAGGCAAGTTTCCTTTGGACGTGATATGTAGTGAATCCATGAGTAAGGGAGGTTTAGTTTTTTTTTTTTTTTAAAGATGACCGGTAAGGGGATCTCAACCCTTGACTTGGTGTTGTCAGCACCACGCTCAGCCAGTGAGCGAACCGGCCATCCCTATATGGGATCCGAACCCGGGGCCTTGGTGTTATCAGCACCGCACTCTCCCGAGTGAGCCACGGGCCGGCCCAAGGGAGGTTTAGTTTTAGAGAGCTTTTATTGATGAGGAAAAGCTTAAAAAGTAGAAGTTGAATTATCCAAGAAAACAGTTACAGAAAATTGGTGACTAAGTGACTTAATTGGAATATGTTTCACATTGGGGCTTTCAGCATACTCAATGTAGCTCTTCTAGTCTTTTTTTTTTTTTTTTTTTTTTTTTTTTTTGGTGGCTGGCCAGTATAGGGATCCGATAGCTCTTCTAATCATTCTGTGCACATTTTTATGCTCCAGAATACAGGTGGCAATAAAGGAGTACAGTTTGCTTATTCTGACCCTGCCTTTTTTTCCCTCTTCTTTTGAATGGCCACACTGTTGACCTTACCAGTGGATGTAATGAAGAACCCAGCCTATAGAGGATGCTTAGTATTTTGTTGAAGCAAGGAGTTTTCAATGGAATGTTTGCAAATTTATAATACTTAGCAGTTAATGGCTTGGCATTGAATTCTTTGTTGCTTTGTGTATTCACAAATTGAATGTCATTATGAACAATGAATTAAGGCTGTGGAGGTCACCTGCCTGGTGGGGAATTGTTTATATTCTTAAACAAGACAAGGCATAGTCTGAAAGTGGTATGTGTCAAACACTTGACTAGTGTTTTGGGGGTGTGGGTGTGTGTGTGTGTGTGTGTCTGGGATGGGGATCTGAACTCTTGAGCTTGGTGTAGACTAGGGTTTTAAAGGGTAGTTTTAAACAGATTCTGTGGATAATTATTAAATAAGGGTATTCCTTATACTTGTTACACAAGTGTTATATTGAGTACTTTGTTTCAATATTTTTAGTCCTAGGAACTCAGTTTAATTTTCTCTTAAATGTCAATTTAATTTTGTCTTAAATGTCAATTGGTATTTAAGGGAGTTTTTGTTAGATGTTTCCTAGAAAGTTATTATTATTTTCACTACATACATCCAAAGATACTTTATTTTCCCATCTTCATTTGGTTGTCTTTACCAACAGCTTTGATTCTGTGCTTCTCTCCCCCATCTCCATCACTTTGTTAGGTAAGCAAGCTTGATAAGTAAAACACTGGAATCAGTTTTGCAGAAGGGGCATGTTTAGGCTCATTTATTTCTTTACATGCATATAAAAATATCTTGAAGCATAATTCTAATAAATACAGTTTTAAAATTTCCTGTTGGTAATAAAGCTTCTCACATTCTTAGTATCTTCTGATTTATTTTTATTTTTTAAATAAGATAAGGGCTGGCACATGGCTCACTTGGGAGAGTGTATTTGGACCCCTATATAGGGTTGTCCTGTTCCCTCAATTGGGAGAGTGTGGTGCTGACAACCGTCCACAAATTCATAAACAAGGCTGTTGAAAAATTTCAAAACACAACTGTTTTTCTAATTAGCACAATGAGATATTTACCTGTGCAGGTGTGTCTGTTTCATTGATTGGCTGCCCGTCAAATCGGAATCTGATCTGCCTCATTGATAAACCCTAAACAAGAGAGTTTAAAAGTAATGAGAAGCATGTAAAGAGTATAAACTCCATTTTAGATAAAATTATATGCATATTTAGTCATGAATATATTATAAAACAAATACCTAAATAATCAATATGTTAATAGTTTGTTTTTTTTTTTTTTAAAGATGACCAGTAAGGGGATCTTAACCCTTCACTTGGTGTTGTCAGCACCACGCTCACCCAGTGAGCAAACCGACCATCCCTATATGGGATCCGAACCTGTGGCCTTGGTGTTATCGGCACCGCACTCTACCGAGTGAGCCACGGGCCGGCCCATTTCGATGTTTTTTTTTTTTTTTTTGGACCTTTTTGAGACCGGCCGCATCGCGCTCAGCCAGTGAGTGCACCGTCCCCATATAGGATCCGAACCCGCGGCAGGAGCGCTGCTGCGCTCCCAGTGCCGCACTCTCCCGAGTGCACCACGGGCTCGGCCCAAAAAAGATTATTTTTCAAAATAAAAACAAAAACAAAAAAATTTTTTTTTAAGATGACCGGTAAGGGGATCTTAACCCTTGACTTGGTGTTGTCAGCACCACACTCTCCCAAGTGAGCCAACCAACCATCCCTATATGGGATCTGAACCTGTAAAGTTCAGGCCCCAAAAAGAAAATTTTTAAAAAGCAAAACCATAAAAACTCGAACATACTATAGTTTAAAGAAATTGAGAATCACCCCAAGTCTTTTTACCCACATAGAACTATTTGTTTTTGGTAGTTGGCCTGTATGGGGATCAGAATACCCACACAGAACTATTAACATTGGGGGCCGGCCTGTGGCTCACTCAGGAGAGTGTGGTGCTGATAACACCAAGGCCACAGGTTCGGATCCCATATAGGGATGGTCGGTTTGCTCACTGGGTGAGCGTGGTGCTGACAACACCAAGTGAAGGGTTAAGATCCCCTTACTGGTCATCTTTAAAAAAAAAAAAAACAAACTATTAACATATTGATTATTTAGGTATTTGTTTTATAATATATTCATGACTAAATATGCATATAATTTTATCTAAAATGGAGTTTATACTCTTTACATGCTTCTCATTACTTTTAAACTCTCTTGTTTAGGGTTTATCAATGAGGCAGATCAGATTCCGATTTGACGGGCAGCCAATCAATGAAACAGACACACCTGCACAGGTAAATATCTCATTGTGCTAATTAGAAAAACAGTTGTGTTTTGAAATTTTTCAACAGCCTTGTTTATGAATTTGTGGACTTCTAGACATTGGAATATATTTTGTTTGGTCATCTTTAAAAAAAAAAAAAAAAAAGTTCTCTCTTGGGCCAGCCCGTGGCTCACTTGGGAGAGTGTGGTGCTGGTAACACCAAGGCCATGGGTTCAAATCCCATATAGGGATGGCCGGTTCACTCACTTCAGAGAGCGTGGTGCTGACAACACCAAGTCAAGGGTTAAGATCCCCTTACCGGTCATCTTTTTAAAAAAAACAAACAAACAAAAAAAACTAAGCTTTCTGTAACAGTTATAAAAAAGGAGACCAAGTGAAAAGTTACCAAGTCTGATGCTGAATTGAGCTGTGTGACATCTAAAATATTGAACCCTGTAATTGGGTAGAGATTGTATATTTTTTCAGGGTATTTAAATCTGAAAATTATAAATCTGAAGAACTTAATAATCAGTGATTTTAAATTTTTTTTCTCTTTTACACTAGTTGGAAATGGAGGATGAAGATACAATTGATGTGTTCCAGCAGCAGACAGGAGGTGTCTACTAGAAAGGGAACCTGCTACTTTACTCCAGAACTCTCTTCTTGCAGACCAAGAATACATTCTCAATTAGAAAACTGCAGTTTGGTTCCATCACATCCTGACTACTACAGTATAATTTTTGCTATTCTTTCATTTTCCCCTTCCCTGTTCCTTTATTGTACATAAAGTAACTGGTGTATGTGCACAAACATATTGCATTTTTTTTTTTTTTAACTAAATGGCCAATGGTATGTTTTGATTGACATCAAGTGGAGATGGGATGGGAAAAAATACTGGTTCTGTGAAAATACCCCCTTTCTCCATTAGTGGCATGCTCATTCAGCTCTTATCTTTATATTCCAGTAAGTTATTTTGCTCTCACTGTTTTAACAAAAAAAA